TCTAAGGGGCAAAATTTTAATCTATTTATTGATGTTAAACCGCTACAGTACAAGGATAAAAGCAGAAGTAATAGTTAATTAGTTAATTACTTTAGAACAACACAACAAAGTTAAATAACAACGAACAGAAAAGTTAAGTTTACCACAAGGTACCAAGAAGAATTTCAAGAAATTGAATCCACAGCAATTAATACTGATAGCCGCAACTTGCGCCGGAAGAACTGACAATAAATTAAATTCTTGAAGTTCACGTTGCTGACGTTGCTCCGCGTACTGGTCGGAACTGGCATCTCCATCCGGCTGGTTTCCAAAAGCGTCCCTCTGGGGTCAGACCGGTGTAAATGCAAAATGAGGGGTGTTCTTCAGCTCATAGTCGCGACAAACGAAGAGGTCGACGTGGCCATCACAGAATCAGTTCTTTTGTGCTTAGAGGAAACATCTTAGATATGTTTGAACTGGGGAGTAAGAAATCTTCTAAATCTTACCCTAAAGCGAGTACGCTTTCAAATCGTCATTTTTCTGTAGGTCACCCAAAAATCCACAGCCACGTAGTGTGAAAATCCAATGAAACAAGGAAGATTTAGGAATGGCTTGAAGACGACAGAAGTGATGACCATAATAACAAGCCTCACATCCACATCTCTTATGGTGACTCGCAGCACTCAACATGTGATGATCGATGAAGAACTATTTCTTTAGTATTTCTTTATTTCTTCTTTAGAAGACTGAAGGCAAGAATAAGAAAAGTAGCCCTCTTGTTGATCCTGCGTAACTGGTCCTTGAAAAAAGTTCCTTGTAAACTTTGTTGTAAAATTGGGTAAAAGAGAAGTTTCTACCTTCTGAGGAATTATCACTTTTTACTCCTTTGAAGCTTAATGTATCTCGTCACGGCTTTGAACGAGGTGTAAACAAGCATTACAAGCAAACTTCAAAGGTATTTTGGATCACTTATTCTACGAGCATAATTCTTCTTGCATAGTAAAGTCAAAACTGAACTATTTTTTGTGAATCGCTTATAGACAAAAGACTTCTGCGAAACGGAGTGGCTACAGAGAAATCCTTGATAATAATAAAAATGCCAACCTTGCTGCTGAATAAATAGTGATCTTAAAATTAAATAAATTCACTTTCAGCAAATCTTACTCCACTAATAAAAATGCGCATTAAGGAATTCCATGAATAAATTAAGTTTAACTGCCTGACTGCTTCTGAACCTTAAGATCTGTATGGTTGTTTTGATGTGGAAAAAAACTTTGTTTTCCATAACTCTTTTAACGTAATTCTGGTAGTTTTTCGACCTGAGTAAACGTTATCAAAAATGAATTGGTTCAAAGAATTTTATAAACACTTTGAAAGTCACACCTTGTAGATCCGCTTTTGTAAATTTTTTACTATCACCTTAAATTCTATTTAGAGATCCTTTGTTTGCTTTCGCTGTCTTTCTGTCTCTTATTTCAGTAATTAGCTATCACTTTTCATTTCCTTTCCAAATAATGGGATTACCAAACAGCTACTTTTGGAAGTGCAAACTAGTTGTGTAGTTTAAAATTTTCTTGAAAGAATCTGTTTTCGTTGTCAAATACGACACATCATTTTTTCCGTGCTTTTTAAAAACAATTTGTGAGTAGTCTAACTGTACCCATATAATTTCGACTTTAGTGATATGATTTGTAAGATAGGAAGAATTCAGACGAGACTTGTGGAAGAAAAACATTGTGAGTTCAGGGGGATCACGGTAGTCCAAGAAACAGACAAACTTTTCACAGCAAAAGAAAATAGTTAATGATGTCGACGAGAGTCTGGCAGCATTGGTAGTCGAGCCCCAAAATAGTGTTTCCACTACCAAACCAGATTTTTTAACACCCCAGCTTTACACTTGCAATTCAGTATGATTTCGCCCCCCCC